CTGTCTGTCACAATTTTCAATTTCTCTTTTCATTCAGATTTATGGAGAAAGTTCTTCCTGTGCTGGGAGAGCTCTCAGGAATATTTTTACTCTACAAGCCTCTGACCTGATTAAAGACAGGGTGTACCTTACTGGCATTTGCAGGTAATCCGAGATCATTCATTTTAATCAACTGGATGGGTTTTATTTGCATTTGTCTATACCTTGATTTGACAAGAGAGTAAATTCTGAGAGTGAAATTTTGTATGTTACTAAGAATTGAAAATATTTTCTAAGAAAATTCTTTAAAATCTCATCTATTTTAATGCCTTTTCTTAAGTTAGTCAGTTGTCAGAAAGCAGCACTGGCCTGATTGTATGTCCATTAATTTAATTGCTTATGATTTCATATACAATTGTGTTTGTTACTTTGTTGAAAAGAAAGAGTATTGAATTCAGCCCTGGTCTGGAGTTACACAAGAGATTAACTGGATTCCTAAGTTTAGTTACACAGTGATTTTTGCATGTAATTTGTGGAATATTTCTGTAATGAAGTGATTTCCCATTTGTGTTGCATTACAGCATAAATGTTTCCTCCTATTTTCAGTTATGCCAAAATGGGCAGGCCTCTATTACAGCACCATTCGTTCATATCCGTGTTTAAGAGAAAGCCACAACTTCTTTTTTTTTAATGATTTAAAAGATAAGTTTACCAATAATGTGAAAGATGAAGTACATCCTAGAACAACACTCAAGGTCTTACATATATATTGTGTAGCTATATTGCTTATGCCTATACTCAGAAAGGAAATAAAATCCTGAGGCTAAAAGCTGGATTTTATTTTGCTCTTACACAATTTTGGATGACTGTATGCAGCACAAATTGATAAAAATATTACATATTGTAAAGTGTGCCACATGAATTAGGTATGTAAGGGAACTTACTCATCTAACACAAGTTCCCTCGTTGTAACTAGGGGCATCCCCTGAGATTTGCCGGAATAATTTCTTCCCTTGGAATGAATAGGATTACAAAAATTAGTAATTGAGACAAAGGGTTTGCCCTGCT